GCATTCATGCTTCCTATATTTGTCGTCAATTCTTGTCGATGAATACGGTGGAATGGAGTCGTTGCAACCTGGCCTGATGATCATGCTAGAGGTGACTGTGGCAGGAAATCACAGCAGAAAACATGGGTTATCTCTAATACGTTCTTCAACAGACTCTCGCCCACGGAACGTTCACTGTGCTGACTTTGGAGAATGGACCGCGCGACCACCCTGACACCGTTGATGACCTTTTCCGTCTTGCCATGAGGTGATTTTAAATTGCTCTAGTTGCGACATGTTCTTGGAGAATCATGTCAGGAGCCGCACTGGATTTTTCATGGCATACCGACAATGAGCGTAGGATTTTCGATCAAGCCTAATCTATGGCGTTCAGGTTTGTGACACGTGCTCCGTCAGCGTTCTTTACACATACGGTAGCAACGGCACTTTTTGAATGTGCGATGGTATGCCTCTCACTGGATCATCAGGAAGCGAACAGATCCGTTACTCGTTTCTTTGTGTCCATAATTGAGCAGTTGCTCTCCGCCAGGAAGGTGCTTCGTTTGTGATTTTACTCTTTTGTCAGTTTTAATAAGGTTTCCAGGTCATAATTAATTTTTGTAGACTGGTTTTCGCGATGCTGGCGTCGAAGCGGCTGAAGATCTAGTCGTTCATCATGGTGCAAAACTGATTGAATTATGCTTACATGCAGCGATATTCAAGGTGAGATATACTTCGCTTCAGAGAATGGGAGGGTACCGATTTTACTCGGGAGATTGGAAGTAAAAGTTGTTTTGAGCGAAGTCGTTCGCTTACTCTTTATGTACATGTTAAGGTGAGTGGTTCGTTACGGCGGGATCTCGCTGAGATCGTATACATGCTGAGCAAGATAGACAGAGGGGTAAGTGCTGGTTAAGCTGCCTACTTGTCTGATTAAAGAACAATTTCGCTTTTTGTAGCGCCATAAGGAGTGGCTTACAATCGCGACTTCTCGTCTACCTCGTGGGCCACTGGCAGCAACAGATGAACAGTTGGAACAGTTTGTTGCCAATATAACAGCCGAGTGAGTTTAATAATCTCCACGTTGTCCCTACTTGTAACCTCGGCATGATGTCGAATGTTCAATTACTTCTGCCAAACGAGGCTGTTAGATGAAACCTTTCGCCTGAAGGTCGAAGGGTTAGGCCAATAAAAGGTTTCATCTAACAACCTCGTTTGGCAGAAGTAACTGAACATTCGGCCGAGTGAGTGTTCTACACATTCTGTTCTGTTCATCTACCGCAAAAGCGTTTACACTTTACTGAGAAATTTTAGGCTCATTTTCAGGCTCTTAGGGATAGTAAGAAAAGCAAGTATAGTTTATGCCATCCAAGGCGCAGCATCGCGTCCAAATTATCAGGCTATTTTCTAGCCAGACGACTTGAAGCGCAGCAGCATTGCCACACTGGAAACTGGGAACTTCGCGAATGCGTAGCTTCTACGCTTATTTTGTCGCCCTCGCCGAAGTGCGGAGGTGCTGAGCTACACGCAGCAAACTAACCTATCCCGGGCAGCTACCCAGGTAGACCTGATTTGACACTTCTGTTATATTTCGTCGTGGGGCTCTGTTCGGCTCATCATTTTATGCGAAAGAACTCCATCGCGTTGTGATCATTTCTTGAAAAATAAGACTCCCTAACTCTATCCTCAAATAAAGAACCGCCCATTTCCACTTGCTACCTATCACTTTCCTAGTTTTTTCGAAAATTTCCAGTTTTTCAGCCAAGAATTTTCCGTCGAACGGAGGGGGGAGGTATATACAAACTGTGCAAACTGTGAGGAAGTTTTCTCAGATTTTCCTCCTACCAGTTTTTCCGAAATTCCCTGGTTTTTCACAAAATTTTGCTGTCGGGAATTTTGGCTGGGGGGAAAGGTGATAAGGGGGGGGGGAAGGTCGTCAGATTTGAAGACACGATCCGCGATCAGGTATCGAAGTTGAAAATATGGCGTCAGGAGGTTAGAGTGGTCCGCGACGAACAACCTTGTACCGGTTTCGCGGCAAAAAATTCTATGGGAGGGGCGCTGTAGCGCAATATAGGTTCAGTGGCTCCTCCTTTTTTCCAGTGACTCCGCCTCCAGACTCCGCCTCTAATGACCGGCTTCCAGTGAAAAATGAGATTGCAGGACGAAAAAGCATGATAATCGCCACTTGTACGATCGTAGAAATCTTATCGGTGAATCAGCCGTGCATATGAGGGCGTAGTTTTGGAGATAGAGTTGATTGGGCACGTACAAACTGGGATCGAAATGGGGTTCTATCTAGGGCAGGTGGCATGTTTTTTGTGCTTTTTTGTTCACAGTCGAGTTACTCAACCCCTTGTCGTCTATATAGAACCCTCTAATCCACCATCTGAGATGATGAGTAATCACGGGTTCTTCCTTTAACTATCATGTTCAATTATTGGAAATGGAATTGCATAGATCTTTGGCCCTACCTCTCAACAACAGCCAAATAACCCCTCACCCACTCCCTCTCGGTTAAATACGCCTTCTTCCTCCCTCCCCCGTTGTGATCATCACAGCGATGGCGTGCCGTGGTCAGGGAGCCTCAGTGTTTCCTACCAATACGGGGAGGAGGGGCAAAAAAAACTTTTTTCTTCCTCGACTTTCGAGGCGCTATAAGTTACACTTTATTAAATTCTTATCGGACATTTCTACCACCATATTAAAGAGCATATTAAATACTATCATCATGATACTCCGCCACAGCCTTCTGGAGGAGCGCCATCGAGAGATTCTGCCACGCGACCGTCAGTGGGTGCGTGAGTTCAGCGAGATCGATTTCTCCGCCACTGTAGACCACCCTATTGAACTCCGCCCGAACCAGGTAATTGAGGGGGTTTAGGTCAGGTTACCTGCTTAGATATTCCACCTTCTTCAGGTACTCAACGCCCTTCCATTCCAAGTAGGCAAGAGTTTTCCCAACGCCCTTTGATTCCATGTGGTGTCACCCAATCCTGTAGCAGTACAAAGTTTCCAAGAAGGTACGGGCGACGACATGTGGAGAGGATATTCTTCTCGAGTTGCTCGATGTACAGCGCTCACCTTCAGTCCGGGCCCA